GGTCCCGACCCTTCGCCACCTCGCCCCTACCCCCCCCCCCCCCCCCCCCCCCTCCCCTCCCCCCTCCTCCGTTTGGCGACACCACCACCACCACCACCACCACCACCACCACCACTCGACTCCACTTACCCATACACTCAGAGACTGGACGGGCTATGGCTGCTGATCAGACTGCCGCCATGCAGGCTTACATCGAGTCGCTCGAGGAGGCCCTGGCGGAGGCGGCGGCGGCGGGCGGGACCGACTCGGGGCCGGCGAGAGCTGGACACAGTGGCAGCAGCAGCGGCAAGATGGCCAGACCGTGGCAGAGTCTGGAGAGAGAGAACAAAGCGCTGCGGGAACAGGTGGCGGCGCTGACGTCTTCGCTGGATCAGGCCTCTCATCAGATCATGGCCAGCTCGTCGCCTCGGAGGCGTGAGCGGTCGCTCCATGACCGGCTGGTGACGGCCGAGGCAAAGATCGGCGAGCTGGAGGGCCTGCTCGCCGAGCGCGAGGCCGAGCATCGGGACGATCTGGCGCTTCGCATTGAGCTTCGCAAACGGGTTGCCCGCCTTGAGACTGCGCTTGAGGCGGCCAAGTCGTCCGAGTCGCGGGCATCGGCAGGCCTCGCCCGAGCCCTCGCCGCCCACGCTGCAGCCGAAGATCGCATCACCGACCTAACCCTCCAGCTGGCACGTGAGCAAGCTGCAAGCTGTGAGCTGAGCGAAGTCAATCAGTCGCTGACGCTGCGGCTTCGGGCGGCTGGGGCAGCGCTCCCACAAGCAGCTGTGTCCCCAACAGCGACACCCACCCGGGCAGCTATGGGCCGGCCGGCGAGCCATAGCAATGCCAGCGGGGCGCAAGGGGCAGACGGTGGAAAAGATGACCAGCAGACGCCGGCACCAAAGCGGCCGCAGACTCCACCACGGGGAGCACGAGCCGCAGCGCACAAGTGACCTTGAATGCCTGCAGTCATTTACAAGAGCGGCTAAGGTGCTTCCTGGGCAAGCAGCGCTAGCGACGAGGCAAACTTGTGGACTGCAAGGCGGGCTAGAATTGCCTTTTTGAACTCTTGCTTGTAGCGGATGATGGCCTCTTGGCTGCCAGTCGAGGTGGTGTGCGGAGCATCGACAGCTAGCCACTCGTGGTCGAGGGCCTCGGCAGCAGTGAGGCGCGTCTTGGGGTTGACGGTGAGGAGGGCTTCGATGAGGTCCTTGGCTTCGTCAGAGACATGGTCCCAGTACGGCGAAGGATAGTCGAACTGGCCGGACATGATCTGGTCAAAGAGAACCGAGAGGTTCTCGTCGTAGAAGGGCGGAAAGCCGCAGAGCAGAATGTACAGAATGACTCCGACCGACCACAAGTCAACCGGCGTGCTGTAGCCCGACGACTTCAGGATCTCTGGTGCGACATAGCCAGGCGTTCCACACGCTGTCTGCAGCCACGAGCCGTCGTCACAGACAGTCGAGAGGCCAAAGTCGGCAATCTTGACCACGCCGCCGGCGCCCGGCTTGGCAAACAGCAGGTTTTCTGGCTTGAGGTCGCGGTGGACAACGTTGCGGCTGTGAAGATACTTGAGCGCCTGGAGGATTTGCCGCACAATGCCTGCAGCCTCGGCCTCGGACAGATTGCCCTTCTGCACAATGCGCTCAAAGAGCTCGCCGCCACTGACCAGCTCCATGACGAGCACGAGTTGCGACGGCGTCTCAAAGATCTCCAGGAGCGTAATAACATTCGGGTGGTCGATAGATTGCATGATCTCCACCTCGGTCAGCAGCATGTGTGTCTTTTCTCCAACAGCGTCCTTGTCGATGATCTTGACCGCCACCTCATCACCGCTGATGTTGTGCACGCCATGGTAGACCTTGGAGAACGAGCCCGCGCCCAGTTGCCTGTCGCCACACAGCCCAGTCCCATCACACAAACTCCTTGATAAGTCCCACCCCGTCCCATTCCCACCATCACTTCCCCTCTCCCCTCCCTGGTCATCCTCCTGCCATGCCCCGCACCCCAAGCCGCACAGCTGTCCCACCAGCCGCCCCACCCCCCCCCCTTCCCCTCTTGCCCTTCCCGCCTCTACGTACTTGCCCAATGTGTAGACCTCACCTACTGGCACGTGCTGTGCGTCTTTGATAAGATGTGCCCCAAACGCCGCCATGAATCCTCCCCCTTGGCGTCTAGAGACAGATACCCACCCTCCGCCCTCGGCTCTCCCTCCTTCCGCTCCCGCCTGCCGCCGGCCCGCTACCGGTGCTCGGCTGCCTGGCAGCACTGGCGGGCTCGGCTCTGGCTATTTTCCACACCTACTCTCACTTGATAACCCATCGCATCCATGTAAGGACATGAATCGGTGGAAGAGGGTATGTCCTTGCCATGCGCTGACTGCGTTACTTGGTCCTCGAAGCTCACCTCTGTCTCTGCTCATCTCCAGCAAGGAACGATCTAACAAAACTCATGATCATTCACCGGTCACTGTCAGCCATCCCCATCACCATCTCCATGTTGAACACCCTGCCTGCGTCACACCCGCTCACATTGCTCACACACACACACCGTCTCCTCCCCCTCTCATCTTCCCTCCTCCCCTCACCCCGATCCGCACTCACTCTTCTCCTTGCGGGCTCTGTGACTCGAGCTGGGCATCACTCGTCTCGCGGTCATCATGTTTGCCCTCGAGCGCGACGAGCGCGAGGCGCGGGCAATTGAGCGGCGGCGTATGCTTGAGGAAGAGCGGCGGCAGCGGATCTTCAACCCAAAGGCTCGGACCATCGGCGTTGACGTTGCTGCGCTTGATGAGCAAGTGCGGATTAAGGAGGAGGCTGAGCGTGCTGCTGCTGAGCGCGAGGCGGCGTATGCTGCCGAGCAGGAACGGGTCCGCCGCCAGCTGCTCCAGCTCGAGGCTCAGGCGGCCGAGCAGCGGCGGGACGTTCTCCGCGAGCAAGAGGCCTACCGCCAGCGGTACCAGACCTATGACTCGCGCAAGGAATTTGACCTCAATGACCCAGACTACCTCCGCAAAGACCTTCCAGCTCGTGTACGTATATGGTGTGTGTGTGTGTGGGTGGGGGGGGGGGGGGGGGGGTAGGGGTCGGTCCCGTACCGTTCGGTCCGGGTTCGGTCGACTTATATT